AAAAAAAAAAAAAAAAAAGAGTTTTGGAGCCAGCATGCTTGGACTCAGGCTCTGGGTCTGCTTACCAGCTGTGGGATCTTGAGTCAGCTACTTAACTCTGTCCCTCAGTTTCCTCATCCTATATCATAAATATAAGGATAACAATAGTATCCACCTAATAAAGTTGTTATGAGGATTAAATAAGTTAACATTTGCAAAGTGTTAGAGTAGTTCTTGGGATAGAGTAAGGGCTATGTAGGTTTGATAAATTAACCCCACCAACAAACAAGCCTTTTCTACGGACTGTGTTCCAAAGGTTAAAGTTGCAGGAAGCAGAAATTCCTTCCCTAAGGAGGGGGATTATACTTTCTAACTTAAAATGTCCCCAAAGTACACTTCCCTTTGACCTGGCAATTCTACTCTTAGGACTCTATTCCAAAAGAAAAAAAGTACCTGTTCCTAAATACATATGTATAAGGATGTTTACTGCAACACTGTTCACAGGGGTCAAGAATTGGATCTATTATATGGACACTGAACAGAATGCTCTGAAGCATGAGATATGAAGCGAGAAAAGCAAGATGCAGAAAATTATTTGTTATGATTCCACTTTTGTCAAAGAAACAAATGTTTAATTTATGTATATACATGTGTGTGTGTATTGTTTATGTGGGTATGGATAGCCCAGAGAAATTACGGAAGAACATGCACTAGAATGTTAACATGACTTACCTCCAGGGGCAGAGACGGGGAAATGCAATGTTGAATGCGTGTGGGGAGCAGGGCTGGGGAAAAGGAATCCATGATAAAAACAGCATATATGACATGATTCCATGTGTATAAAATTACACACAGACACACACACACACACATGCTTCGTCTCAGTCTCTTCATCTGAAAAATAATCCTTCACTTGCCTCCCTTCAAGGGTAATTATGAAGATTAAGTGTGAGAATGGGTCTGAGATCGTGCTCGGAAAACTAAAAATCGCACTAATCGCAGAGGGATGATTCTCTTGTTTCTTAGACAGCAAAACAATCAGAACTTACCAATGCGGACACTGACCAGGGGCCAAATATTCCTCCTTCTCCAAACACTGGCTCAAAGAAGGGCACGGCGACCAGCAACATGGCGGAGGACACTGGGGCCTGGTAGTACAACAACTGCATCGAGTTCACTTGCAATTCATGCTGTTTGGCTCCTACCCACTGAAAATCGGGAGACAAAACACGTGAGGTAGGAAAAAAATACCACCGCTTAGTAAACAAAAGATGCGACTCTAGTCACAGGGATGGGAACTTAGGGCAGGGCTGGGGGAAGAGGAAATGCCTAATTATTCTACAAGACTCCAAAGATCAATTAGAAAAAAAAGATCAATAATGTATACAAATGTCCTTTAAGCACCTTGGATGAAAGGAGCTTTACAAATTCAGTGTATGTCAATCTATTTTCTCCTCAGTATTTATAAAGAAAGGAGAAAAAATATCCTCTTCCCTGCCAACCCTAGTAAATGAGCAAGTCCATGAATTCACACAGGGGCCCATGAGTTATCAGAGATCTTGGGGAAAGGAGACAAGAATGGAAATTTAGGTGATAAGCAGGAACAGAGATGCAGTGCTAGACTTCATTTCTTTCTAAAACTGCACCCCCCCAAAAGAAGTAGGGGGTGAGCGGGGCAGACTAATTAGGGATTGACAGGAACCTCAGCTACCCTGGCTGCCAGTGTGGGTGGCTAGAAAAGTATGTGAGGCCTTTTCCTTCACGTTAGAAAACAATCAATCAATGGCAGAAGGAATTTTCTTCTTTGTGGATGATTTTTCTGTGGGTAATCCAATACACTTGAAGAAATTAAATAATCGCAAATCCTTTTAAAAGACTATATCATTCAGGGGTGCCAGGGTGGCTCAGTCAGTTAAGCGTCTACCTTCGGCTCAGGATGTGATCTCAGGGTCCTGGGATCAAGTCCCACATCAGGCTCCCTGCTCTGCAGTAAGCCTGCTTCTCTCTCTGCCTGCCTTCCACTCCCCCTGCTTGTGCTCTCTGTCAAATAAATAAATAAGATCTTTAAAAAAAAAAAAAGGCTACATCATTCAGAGGGTGCCCGGGTGGCTCAGTCAGTTAAGTGTCCAACCCTTGATTTCAGCTCAGGTCATGATCTCAGGGGCGTGGGATAGAGCCTGAGTTGGGCTCCACACTCAGTGCAGAGCTGGCTTGTCTCTCTCTCTCTCTCGCTGCTCCTCCCCCCACTCCATGCTCTCTCTTTTTCTAAAATAAATAAAATCTTTTAAAAAGATTCAAAAAAATAAAGGACTATGTCATCCAGGAGAACCAACACCTCAAATCCCATCAGTCCTCAAAATGTTTCGCAAATATGACTAAAAAGAAGGCTTTAAAGAAAGCCTGACAAGGCTGCTTGAATAAGATCTGGCATGAACAGCCAGGCTTTTGAATAACTGCTCCTACATAATTCTTTTTCCTGTAGATCTGGGTATCCTGTTCTATAAACTCGAAGGCTACAGAAATTCACCAGGACAAAAACAGAAGAGCAGGAAATTTGAAACATACTCCCGCCAGCCTTAACTGAGAGGCTTCTGTGAGTATGAAGGACAAAGAATCGATTCTCCCACGGCCTGCTCCTGGGGGGGGCTGCAGAGTGTGGAGGCCCGGCCCTCGGTTTCTTTAGCAGCCTCCCCAGGCGGTTGCGTGCCTGCCGTAGAGCTGCCTGGAACGGTGGCTCTTCTCAGGGCCTCCACTTTCCCTCTGTGCACCTTGGCTTCTGCCCGCCATTGCTCTAAATGCAACTGCTCTCCCAAAGGGCACCGTCACCTCCAAAGGTCACCCTTCTGCGCTCTGCCTGACGGGGCTCTCTGCGGGCCCGGCAAATTTCTCCTGGGGGAACTTGACTTCTGGTCTGCACTGTCTCCTCACTCACGTCTTCCTTCATTTACTATTTTTAAGGTAGATGTCTGGCCTTTTTCTTTTATCTCCCTGACTGATCTCACTTACACCAGAAGACATCTCCAGCTCTGACCTCCGTTCTCAGGGCATCCTTAATCCCCAAATGTCAACAGCTTACCGGCCACCTTCACTTACCCGATCTGCAGGGACTGTTCTAAAACCAACTCAGTACTTACTTACTGTTGCTCCCATAATTAAAGACCTAATCTCCCCCAAGGATGAGAGGCCTTACTTTTCTCACTCTACATTCGGTCCCGTCCTGCTAATTCCTCCTCCAAAAGGTTTCTGGCCTCTATCACTGTCTTGCTCAGTGCCTTCCTGTCTTCCCCTGGAACCGTGGAGAGCCTCCTGACTGTTCACCCATCATGTGCCACCAGAGTTAATTCGCTGAAACACAGGGACCGATCAAGCCACTCCCCTATCTAAACCCCCTTCCTGGCGCCTGCAGATAAAGGGCACACTTGCTTAGCACGTGCCATCTGGTCTCACCCACCCGTAAGCCTCAGCCTTCCACGAGGCAACTACAGTCTCACCAAATCCATCAAGTCCTCCAAAGACGCTCCATCCTGTCACACATCTTTGCAAAGAAAGACCTCTGCTGTATTTCTCTGCTAAACAAACTCCTGTGGGCCCTTCCATTTAAAGTGTCAGCTTTTCCATAAAGTCTTACCTCATCATCCCCTTGAAGAACTGCCACTTCCTCTCGGGTGTTCCTCAGAACTCTCCTCATACCCTCAGCTACGCTGCTTGTGGCTGGCTGTCTACAGCTAAGGTTCTACAGCGACTGTCTCTACAATGCTGGATTTTAGCTGCTTTTCATCTTTGTATCTTCAAGGCTGAGCATCAAGCAGAAGGAATGTCTGCTAAACGAATGAATAAGGGCATCAACTGTCTTTCCACAACTAAAGCTAATACCTGGTCACTCATCCTTTAACTCCTTTTAACACCCTAGCAGTATAAGAAGAAATAACTTAGGAATTACAGCTGGATACAATGGGAAAATACAACTTTTTTAAAAAATGAACTTTTGGGGAATACACCTAATTCCTTAACAGTACTTTTACTGTTTACTAATAATAGAAAACTCTGCCTATTAGTTTGTCCACAACCATTCCTTAGGCAATCCCATTTCAAATATGTACCTGAGGAATATAGAATCCTTTGATTCTAATCTACAGCAATTTTGAGACTTGTGGGGAAAAAAAATGGTCATATTGGCAAGGACAGTGAATAAGCGGAGTTGAAATTATGTGTAAGGAATACAAGAAATTCTGATGCTTAATAAACAGTTAATCCCTCCTGGGCCAAAAAAAAAAAAAAGAAAAGGTCTGTTTAACAAAAAAAGACAAATAGGAATGTTCACTTACTGTATCTAGTAACAAAATTTAAACTCACTGAAGTACATCTAAGTACAATCTTCTTAAAGCACAAGGCTGAGCTTGCTCTCATTCCTCTCTGTAGTGAAAGACAGAATATCTTAGAGCCAAATGACAGCACTGAGTGGGTGCTCCGTCCTTTCATGACACTGGTCTCTTATTTACACTGCTTCTTCCCACTTAAAAATGTACTCAGCCCCACAATGTTTATATAACAATGTTTCTGAAATGATCAGTACTAGAAAGTTTCAGATGTAAGGCTGTATTCTTAAAGTTGTAGCATGCAGAACAAGAATGCCTTAGTTTATAACCAGCAGATATTTGTGAAAAGAGAATATTGGTTACACATTGCGGCTCTGACTCCCCATGCAGGCACACCCAGAATTTCCAGTCCAAGGTTTTCAGTATAGAGAAAATACTGTTTCACTGCACCCTACACCAAGTTATTTTTCCCCCCATGTAAGAAACAAAAAACCATACTTGTTGAGATTTTATGGTAATGAAGTAAGTGGATCCATGCACAAATTTTTAATGAGTGCCTGCTGTAGGCAAAGTACCGTGCTACGACAGTACCAGAAGTGAAATATCCATTGCTAGAAAATACGGATGCAGACAAGTCACTGGAAGCTGACATACAAGTTGTAACAGCAGCAGATTTTTTGAGGCAAAGATTTATAAATCTGAAGTTTTCCTTTCCTGTTCCAATTTTGGAAAGGTATTCGTTCCTTCACAGTAATCTTGTCATTAAAGAGTAAGTCATAAATTTAACCAAAGCTCTCAGTTTCAAGTATGAAGTCTTACTACTCATTTTGTTAAGATTTCCCAGGTAATGCTATAGCATCCCCCCAAAATCAAATTGTTAAGCATGGGGATTATACACTTACAACAGGTAGGGAGGTATTTGGTGAGCATCATACACCCAAGTTTCTCTGTCTCCTTTCTTCTCTTCACCTTGAGTCAGACAATTTATGCAATTATGCTTTCTTCCCAACAGCCTATTGTCTCTATACTGTATTTTCTAAACCTTGGGATACAGCTTCAAAATTTATGAAATCTGCTAAAAAGGCACATAAAGAAAAAAAAATTACCAACCACTTGATAAAGGGATGTAACTAAAACACCAAGAGCGGCAAACACCATTCCAAGGAAATTAAACTTCACATCGTAATAAGAATTTAGGATTACACCTAAAGTTATAGGAATCTGTAAAGAAAAAGAGGCAAATGTTGTTTAGATTAAATTCATGAGACATAAACTTAGTATTCCTTTCATGTTGTCTTACAAGGTTAATCATAAAAACATCACTGGGAAACAGTGAACCTCTATAAATGGATTTTTTTTTCCATTTGATAAAACAAACCGATTTCCTCAAAGTGAAATATGTTAATTCTATATTTATATTCATATTTAATTCTACTTAAAATTCTGGGTAAAATAATGAGTCAATGCATTTAAATTTGCAACAAACACATACGACCTGCAAGCACAGAGGAGTAAATGGACCCCCCCAAACTAGTGCCTAAACAACATATAAGCATGAACGTATAACAAAAGCATTAAGAATTTAAATACTGTAGGGCGCCTGGGTGGCTCAGTCGTTAGGCGTCTGCCTTCGGCTCAGGTCATGATCCCAGGGTCCTGGAATCGAGTCCCGCATCGGGCTTCCCGCTCTGCGGGAGGCCTGCTTCTCCCTCTCCCACTCCCCCTGCTTGTGTTCCTGCTCGCTATGTCTCTCTCTGTTAAATAAATAAATAAAATCTTTAAAAAAAAAAAAATCCCTCAAACAGCCATAAATAATTTGGTGAGTTGGCAATAATTTACCCCTTAAGGACTTCATATGAAGTGTGAAGCAATTTCGATAAATCAAAGGAAATCATATGTCCTCTAACATAACAAATATGAAAATAAATTACATTTAATGTTTTGCATTTTTTTTTTTAAGATTTTATTTATTTGACAGAGAGAGAGAGAGAGAGGGAGCACAAGTAGGCAGAGCGGCAGGCAGAGGGAGAGAGAGAAGCAGGCTTCCCGCGGAGCAGGGAGCCCGATGCAGGGCTCGATTCCAGGACACTGGGATCATGACCTGAGCCAAAGGCAGCCGCTTAACTCCTGAGCCACCCAGGCGCCCCTTGCATATACTTTCTAAAAACAATCCACCAGTAAAAAAAATGCACATGAACAAGAAGAGTTCTTACAAGGGTCAAACAAAACCTTTCTCGTTTAATCAAATCTGTTCTCAACATAAACAAATGAGAAATCGAAATTTTAATCTGAAAAAGCAGAACCAGGAGATTTTGGAGATGAAGAGTCCCTTGGAAATCATCTGGATCTAAGCCCTCATTTTGTAGATGAAGAAACTGAGAACCAAGAGTCAAGCAAGACAGGCCACAGTCAAAGGCTGTCTATGTGATGGCAGAGGCTGGGCCCGAACCCACGATCCTGGCGTCCAGGCTCACCCATTCCACCGAGCCACACTAGCTCCAGACTGGACTGGTCTTTTTCTTGGCCGGGTTATCTTGCAGTAATAGAAACCAAAAATGCATAACTGATCATCCCTTAATGGGCTTGCGAACTTTTTTTTTTTCCCAAAGCATGCTGGCAGTGGGTAAAAGTAACTGTTGATCTTATTAATAGCAACCCATATTTCAAAAATACCTTCAGGAGCGAAAAAGGAAACTCCTCCTCAGGACCACACATCATCCCTGCTACAGAAAGAAGTATGTGCACTACTTGCAGAGTTACTCAGGGTATTTGGCGCTTTACAATTTTACTTATAATAAATTACCATTATGGTCAGTCATAGACTCACACACAAAAAGCCCCCTGCTCATGTCAACCAGCACTCAGTATCGCATGCTGCAACAGCAACAGAATTGTCGATACTCGAGGATTCCGTATGTTCTCACATGCCGACCCGGCCCTCTCCAATCTGCATTTGCTACCATCACTCCGCGGAAACAGCCTTACTAAGGTCAACAGTGAATTGCCAGCAAACGCAATGGTTATTTTTCTGTACACATCTACCTTAACCTCTCAGCAGTGCCGTCACATCTGCCCACCCTCTCTCCCATTATCTTAGCCTCGGCTCCCTCCTACCTCTTTTTCTTCCTTCTCAGAACTATATTCCTCCACCGGTGTTTGCTGGAGTTCCTCACGGCTCGGCTGTAAATGGTCTTCTTGTTTTATACGGGCCTCCTAGGCAGGCCCATCCTGATCTGTGTTTTCATCCGTATCAGTCACACCCTGTAAACTCCCCACGTACTATCTCCATTCCAACTAAAACATTTCCTGACTTCTAGACCTGTGTATCTGATTATTTGATTAACATTTTTTAACTGGATGTCTCAAAGATGCCTCAAAATCAAGATGGCTATGTATTAACTCATCATCTTCCTCCTTCCCTTGCCACACCTTGTCTTGTGTTTCTTAACTCACAGAATGGCACCATTCTCTCTCAGCGACACCAACCAGATCTAGGAATCAGTGTGATTCCTGACTTCACCTCCTCCTGTGCCCTCCATTTCCAATCCATCTCCAGCCGGGTTGATGCCATCTACTAAATTCTCCTGGATCTGTCCACGTCTATCATCTTGCCACCGCCACCAGCCCTCCAAGCTATCACATCTCAGTACAACGTCTCCCAGATGGTCTCCTAGCATCCCTCTGGTTCGCCTTCATTAGTTTCAACACAAAGGGGTTGACTGCGACACTTAGAACACTCCCTCTTGCTCATACTTGATTCCTAACATGCCTGCAAGGTGTTCTATGGTCCGAGGCCAGCCTTCCTTTCCTCTCATGCCACACCATACCTCCCCTCCCTGAAATGTAGCCTCTCTATTCCGTCCTGTTAGCAGTTCCACTCATCATAATTCCTCCAACCAATGGGCCTTTGCATGTGCTATTCCTTTTCACCAGAATGCAATCCCCTCCCTTTACTTATCTAACTTCCATAATTCCATCAGAGCTCAGCTCAGTCATCTTTTCCTCATGGACACCTTCACTGACAGCCAATTCTGGGCCACATTCTCGTTATATGCTCTAGAGAATTATGTTTTTAGCATTTATCTGAATATGTCATCATAAATACACTTTGTTTTTATTTCATTAATGTCTATCTTTTCTACTAGATAGAGGTTTAAGATCATAGGGCATACAGGGCTGTTTTGGCACAGGGCCTCGTAGAAGGTCTGGCACATATGTTCAGTAAACTTCTGCTGAGTGAATGAAATTATCATTATATTCCTGAGCTTAGCAAGTATAACCCAGTTCAAGTTTGGAAAGAGAAATGCAAAACAGAATATATCTAATAAAACTGGTCTCCATTCTTTTAATCGACTTTCACCTTTGGCCATTCTGTACATTCATTCACCTAACAACTATTTACTGATGGAGTCAATGTGGAATGTCCGATGAATGCTGTTGCTTTTATTTTTTAAAGATTTTATTTATTTATTTGTCAGGGAGAGAGAGCACAAGCAGGGGGAGCAGAAGGCAGAGGGAGAAGCAGGCTCTCTGCTGAGCAGGGAGCCCGACGCGGGACTCGATCCCAGGACCCTGGGATCATGATCTGAGCCGAAGGCAGACACTTAACCAACTAAGCCACCCAGACACCCCAAAGATTTTATTTTTTTTAAGTAATCTCTACACCCAGCATGGGGCTCGAACCCAGAACCCCAAGATCAAGAGTTGCATGTTCCACTGACTGAGCCAGCCAGGTGCCCCTGGGTTATTTTAAAATAACATGAGAATTTTGTTTTATTAGATTCTACACTTTTGGGAGCTGGTCAGACCAGCATTACCACTGCAAATACACACAGATGCTATCCTTCTTTCACTGGTTCCAAAAAGTTCTGACACACAACATGAAAGTAAAAATATCAGGTTCTCTTTATTTGTAACAGATAAAAACTGAAGTTCGGCCATTTAACATAGAATTAAAAACCAGTACAGTTACATCTGTAACAAAAGGACAGTGGGTGTTCATCCACGGCACTGTTTCTGGTTTGTTTCTGTGACTGGGCCTGGTCATTTCCCCAAGGAATTTCCTTTTCGGTGCGAAGATCATCTTCAGGACAAAAAACGTTGATCAGACTCCAGTTCCAGTACATATTTTATTCACTTCTATATACACATACCCTTACCCTATCTTGCTCCAGTCTTTTTATTGCATTCCTATTGACAGCAGTCATTTATTATAACCCGCCCCAACATTGATTATACCCCCCAAGTATTTATAGTTAAAAGAATTTCCACATAGCACAAATCAACTCAGCTGTCTGTGTGCAGAAGTCATATAATCCTCACTGCATAGAAATACTTTTCTCCAGCTTTGGGGAAATAATTATATATTAAACACACACAGAGAACATTTCTTAGACAAACATAATGCCTGAGACTCATCTGGTAAGACAGATTGCTTCATAATTCTTAGCACAATAAAATATATCTTTAGAAACTGAGAACCAAAGAATATTTAAAACAAAAACAGAAAATCACACATACTGGTCACCTGATAACTGACCGATAGTTTGAAATTCTGTCAAAACAGATTTTCAGTGAGGCTTTTCCTTTCAAACAGGCCAGGAAAAAAAAAACAAAAAAAACCCTAAAAGGTCTATTTTTTATATGTGGCTCTTTGTCTTAAGAGTTGTTTTTTCATTTAAAGTTTATATGTAATATTTTTAAAAGATTTATTACAAGAGGGACTGTCTCAGTCAATTTATCGTGAGAAGTTAACAACAGCTTTTAATGCTCAACTATCAAGAAGCTGGAAGGCAGAAACACATTTTGCAAGGAAATGTGTGACACTACATTTCCTTAAGTGGAAACCCTGTATTTCCCTTGTAACCTAATTTTTAAAAATGATCCCTTTAAAAACTAATGGAACTGATTAAATATTGACTATTTTCTACTTCTCTTTAAAATCTTTCCTCATATTTTCACCAAGTTTCTCCTTAATGTTTGGATAGTATTTGCCCTGACTTGCTGCATGAAAATCTTCCTCAGCCACCGTAGAAAGAGAGTTCACTACAAAGCCTTTAGTGCCAAAGAAAGCTCCAGGCCTGCCTCCAATGTGGGAGGCAGGGGGTGATAGCAGGGAGGTGGTAGTAAGAAATGACCAACATGAAATGCTCAACGAGGCCAACAGAACAGGATAAGACACCTGCTCAGTTCCATGCATCGTCTCCTCTTTGGGCCATTTAAACATGCAGCTATTCTATTTTTCAATGTCACATACAGTTTCTAGAGTTCACTGAGAGCTCAGAAACAAGCGAACACCTATAGCAACCGTAGTTTTCTGGATAATGTGTAACTTCTTATATCAATTTTCTACTGGAAATATGGTACTTTTAGATTTGGATTTTCTCTTAGGGTCTTCTCTTCTACACTTTGCTTTCTATGACTGATATTTCATTTCTGTAAGCGAAATAAGCAGGAAGTTGTACTAAACCAACTAAAAGAGAAATGCTAGATTTAAATTCTGACTTGAACGCTTTGGCTGAAATTATAAAAGAGCTCACACTGGGGGCCACCTATGAGCAAGCAGAGGAGTCCTCCCTGTCCTTCCTTAGAAGGGTATGGACACCTACAAACCACAACACATTGGTAGTACAGTGATCTGGATCCCTCTGTCACTATTATAGAACTTCAATTTCACGTATTTTATTTGGCATAATCAAACCATCCTAGAGACTTCATATAATCAATCTTTGAAAAGAAGCAGGGAGCTGTGGTCTTAGAGGTACTCTAAAAGAGAAAGTCCTATTTATGAATAAAATGTCCTTTGTCCTACTTCTTGCAAACCATCATTCAATGAATTTTGCAATATAATTTTTTCTTCCTCTTTGAAAGTAACTTGCACACTGAATTAACACTTTTTTATCTTCTTGGGGTGGCTTTCTTTTCTCCACCAAAACCCAATTATGGACGCTGTACCAGTTTACTCTTACTTCCTTCCTGTTCACTGAGTTTCAAATGGGTATAGGCGAGAATGCCAAATAATGTGCATAACATGCCAAGACCCTGGTTAATTGACAATGGATCCTTAAATAAAACATATCCTCCAAATAAAGTAATGCAGAACTTGAAGTGTCCAAACATGTTATAGCTGAGTTTTTTGGCTAAGGATCAACAAAACCAACGAGCTAGATTGTGATATCCACACATTCACACACACACACAGAGAGAAGGAAAAACAAGCTAGATGTTACATTCACACACACACGCACGCCCGCGAAGCCTTCCCGTGGCTGGAAGAACTGCAGGAAGCACAGACTGAATCGCGCCCGCGCCCCCTGCCCCCCCCACCCCCGCCACCATATGAGAAACAAGAACTTTGGTCTGGGTCGATCCTAGTTTTCTCAGTAGGCTTCAGCAATGGTGACGGGAGACTACCTCAACTATCTCAACTCTCTCTCTCCAGAGAAGAGCAAAGGGGCTATGCTATAAGGTTGGAAAAGGAATTCAGAACAAGGCACAGAGCAGCTATTTTGCCCAGCAATTTATGATTATGTTTTATAGTGCTATTTCTAATAAACTTCCCTTGGCAAATGAGGGAGATGTGTGTGGCACCAGATAGCAGACTCAAGGTAAACACATCCAGTATGCCTCCGTTTGGGAGGGAAAAGGGGCAAGGGGAGGGAGTGAGACTGAGCATCGGTGACACGCCGGGCGCTATGCTACCTGCGTGTGTCACCCCCTGTCATTAAGCATGACATTTACCCTCACTGACCGCAAGCCTCCGGCTCTGGCCTCCGCGGGCTCCTTCGGGGCGGGAGAGCGCCGGCCGCGTCACCAGGGGACCTGCGCTCGCCGGACCCACTAGACGGGGTTTCCGAGAGACAGAGGCCCTTCCCCGGGACGTTAATTCTACCCATTAGTAGACGGCTTCGTTTCCCATGGTGAGCTATCTCAAAGCACACTGGTTCTAACACCTCAGTGTTTCTTTACTCCTCAGCCTCTCTTTTAAAGTAGTTCATGCTCCGTGGAAGGTGGTTATACGAGAGGGAAGGCAAATTTAAAGAAAATTCTTCAGTGAGGTAAAAAATAAACACATACATATTAAATTCAATGCAAAAGGAACGGTCTGTACCCGGTATCTCCAATTCCCCTCTCTGCTCCAGTCAGGCTTTCCCCTCGACGCTCAGAAAGCTCTTGTCAGAACACGGGCGCCCTCCACCTTCCCGAGCCCCCTCCTCAATTCCCAGCCTTCCTAGGCGTGACCTGTCAGTGCCAATCAACACGGCCTCCCCCGGGGGGGCCTGTACGCCTTCCTTCCCCTTCCCCGGCCGTCCCTCCTCGGCCTCCGCTGCCAGCTCCCCTCAGCTCTGGAGCAGCCAACACGGACGTGACCCAGGACCCAATCTCTGGGCGGCTCTTCTTCTTCTACCTGTTTGCTCGGTGACCTGCACCAGCCTCACCGCTTTAAACAGCATCTACACAGGACACCTGACTGTCCCTGGAAGAGCCGCGGCTGAGACGCCGACCCTGAACTCTCAGGCTTGTTCTCCCCCAACTCCCCGGCCCCAAACCTCCTCCGGGCTGTCCTATGTCAGCAGATGGCAGTGCCATCCTACCAGGCGCTCAGGCCCGAGCCACGTGAGCCAACCTGTTTCCTCTCCTATTCTCCACCTCCGACTTGTCAGCAAAGCCCGTTGGTGCTACTTGAAAACATACCCAGGCTCCAATCCTGGTTCCAAACCACCATCCTTTCTGCAGCGCACTGCACTCATTTAGTGCAGTGCTTCTCAACCGGGCTGATTTTGTCACCAACAAGGTCTGGACACCTTTCTGACCGTCGTAACTGGGAAAACGGGGCGCTACTGGCATCTAGTGGGTGGAAGCCGGCATGCTGCCAAACATCCTGCGGTGCGCAGGACCGGCCTCTGCAAACAAGAACTGTCCAACGCACAAGGTCGACAGCACTGAGGCTGAAACACCCTGCTTCAGCCTACTCTCAACTCAGTAGCCCAGAGTGATCCCATTAGAACGTAGGTAAAATCATATCATTTCCCCGCCCCAAGCGCCCACGGCTTCCCATCTCACTCAGGTACAAGCTCTGCTCAGCCCGGCGCCCTGTTCCGCTCAGAGCCTCTCCCTGCTGCAACCACGAGGCCTCCTGGGTGCTCATCAGGGCCTCCCTGCTGCTCCCTCTGCCGGGAACGCTCTTCATCCCGATCTGCATGGGGCGACTTCATTTCCGCCAGGTCTTCACTCAGAAGTCCCCTTCCTGACTGCCCCCTCTAAAGTTTCAACCCGGCCGCCAACATTTCAGGTCCTCTTTCCTGCTTTCCTTTTTTCTCCTTGGCACTTCACACTATCTCACACCGTATATGTGGACTTAAATGTTTTTCTTGTTTATAGTCTCCCTCACCAGAATTGAAATCTGGGAGAGCAAGCATCTTTGCTCACTACTGTATCTCCAGGACCCAACATACGGTAGATATTCATCATGTAAGCACTTATTAAGTCAATGCATGGTTTATAGTGGGGGTTCAATAAATATCTGTTGAGCGAATGTTCTTAATCAGGGCACATCACTGGGTGCCTTGATTTGGCAGCATGGTGTACAAGGTCTGGGACTAGACCGCGTGGGTTCAAATCTGGACACCACACTTCTCAGCTATAGGACCGTAAGCGCGTTGCTTAACCTCTCTGCACCTCTGCTTCCTGCTCTGCAAAATACAGTGATAGAATTTACCTCACAGAGCTGCTTTGAGAGTTTGATGCCTGATACACCTGAGGTGTTTCTTTCCAACGTGCCTGGTGCAAAATAAAACATTTATTAAGTGTTGGGGTTTTTTTAGAAAAATTATTCTTATTATAACTGTTGTTGGTATTTATTATAGTTAGCAAATAGGCTGCTTTTTTACTTTGCTGACATCTCAGTTCTCACTCACTTAAATAAATCAGCACACTTGGATACAATGTTTCTAAACTATCTCTGATTTGGGGAAATCCTTTGCCTTTGCTTAAGAGTAGAGATGGAGTGAAACGAGAAGAGAAACAGAATGACAAGCAAAATGTTAAAAATGATTCAGACCTCTAAGGCCTGATTTCATTTCTTGATTGGAAGTGATACTGAGAAAAACAGGCACACCCATATCCAAATAAGTACAAAAACATATTCAAAAGTCAGATGTCAATGGTCTGAAGTTATCTTTTGTTTTTGGATTGGCTGTACCTGTACTTTATTACTATAGAGACTGCAAAGTGATTAAAAACCATGGCATCCACTCCATTATCCACTCAACAAGTATTTATTTAATTCAACTATGTACCAGGCTTGGTGTTCTATGTTGATTTTGATAAGGGAAAAAGGTCACTTACCGCGTAAGAAAATAAAAAACTCTTCGTGAGACAGAAAACTAACCCATTTCCCTGGCTCACCTTTCTTTAAGTTTCCATACAGTCTAGTGTGGAAAGATAAAGGAAAAGACTGAAAACTAGTCTAGCTACTCAGTGTAGGCCACGTAATAGTAAGTGCAAGACTCCCAGAAGGAAATGAATGTGACAGAGTTTGGGAAAATATAAAAGACTATGCATTTGTGAGTTACTAGGAAAAGGATACGTGACTGGTGATGTGTTCCCAATGATCCAATAAATCGATAAGTTCACCATGAAAGCTATTACTCCAGAGAGCAGCACCATAAGCTACAAATAAACCCAAAGAATCATTAATGTAAAGCAGTTGTGATCATTATAGTCATCAAGTAAAAATCCATTTCATTAGGCATTTCTAAAAAGTTAAATAACCACCATTAAGAACAAGAGTTTTAAAAGAATCCATTTGAGAGACAGCAAGAATTGAGGGTAAAATAGCAGAATGAATAATATGCAGAAATATAATTTTGTCTACAAAATGCAATGGAAAATTCTCCAATAACATCCTGCCTGACCGTGAATTTCCAGGTTCATTTTTCTTATCCATCTGAAGAAAAATTATTTTGTAGTAATTTCTAATTATAAAAGTAATATATATTCCATATAGAAAAATCAGAAAATAAAGATAAGCAAAAAGAATGTAAGGACTTTTTATAATCCTAACCACCCACCACTGTTAATACCTTTGCACGTATCCTTCCAGATATTTCTCAATTAGTTGCTCATATTTATTCTTTTTTTTTTT